TAACACAAGATTACTATCAGGTTTAAGGTTTATCTACACAAACTCCTAGCCAAATATTATTAACGCAAACTGTATAAATATAAAAGTCGCTCTTACGTGGTGTATACGAATCCATACCGTCGATAATTGTTTCTTAGCCTGTTTGTGATGTTTGTATATAGCAAGAAACTTCCAATCATAACTACTTAGAATTAAAACAACAACAATAGTTTAATTATCGGATACACTATGCGACTAGCCACTCAGATTAGGCAATTGTTTGCATTTGTTTACACTTTACACAGAAGCTGTTACACAGAAGTTCGTTAATTATTAGTTTAAATTAATAGAATATTAAACTAACTGTTCTGACAATAATAAAAATAATTTTATGCGTAAGAGTAACGTGCGTTAAACATTGACGAAGAGTGGACAGTATGACCCTGTCCGCGGTAACTGAGCATGGTGCGCGGCAAAGCTTTAACTGCATGCATGTTATTTCAATTCATGTAGGGAATTCGCAACTCAACAAATTCCTACACGTCAGGGGTGGCCAATAACTTACCGATCTTGCTTAAATACGTCTAAAATAGAACGTAAGCAAAAATATAAGTAGAGTAGTAACAGCCTAAGAATAGTTTCTTTTCCTGATAAATTTACAATCCTCTCGCGGTAAGCCATCAATCCTGCATACTTTAAAATTGTTCTATTTATAGAAAAACATTCAATCAAACAAAATCAGAATAATAGCATCTCATCTCTGCATAAAACTGGATACTAAAAATAAGCTCGTCAGATGTATCAGAACTCTACTACATCACTAATAATCATGACGTGTGCAATGTTTAAATGGTGAATTGATGTAAAATGTCCTTCAGTGCAATGAAATTTCCAGAACGCTTACAGCATTTGTTTTGCTATTAAAGTTAATATCTAATACATATATAAAAATTAATGTTAATTTGTTCGTTAAAAGTTCGTTCGTCGAAAGTTATAGACATAGTTGGATCCGGTAGGTGGCGCTGTTGTAGAATCCAGATATCAACCGTGCGAAGCCGGGGCAGATCACTAGTATAATATAAAAACAGTACCAACTGCATATTTAATGCAGTCGGTATTAGATAATTCTTCGCTCAACACATCAGTAATTTGAGTTGGTAATTGACCGTGACCTATTTCTTGTGATACTTTGATACGTGAGTTTACAGCATGTTTTAATAAAAAGACAGACGTAGAAAACGAAAAACATTTTTGGTACATTTTCTGGTAAAAATAACTGACAAAAATGACCACGTAAAACAGCTTCATAACTACGAGAAGGACCTGTAAAGAATGGTTTTGATTACAGTTACAGGACGAGACAATTACGTCACAGCGGTCAGGTTCCGCTCAGGGGCCCAGCTTCAGGTAGGTACGAAATCACACGGTTGGTAAACGCGAAACAATAAGTCCTTTTTAAATGCAAAACAATGCAAAATCATCATATTTAAAGAAATCTAACGATGTCTCCATTAAAATTAAATCCTTTTAAATACACTTTCAAAAAAAAAAACATATTATAAAACCACTTCTTATTTTAAAAACAATGGCCTTCATCGTTTATATACAAGTTACTACAAGTAGAAAGTTTTGTGAAGCAGGGACTTTAAAAATGCTGGTGACGACTTTGACAAAGATTGTAAACATTTATTTACGAAAATGTACACATCCTTTTTTTTATAAATAACTTTAAGTATTGTTACGAGCTTGAGGTTCGTGACAATAAAAATCGCCGATAAAATTACCTAAATTAACACTTTAATTTCCTTTACACAAATTAAAACTTAAAACATAATAATTAAGCACACTGGTTCACTTTATTTCGCTCCGAAGCTTCGCTTGTCTCGCCAAATCCAATACTTCCCGATCGCATCTTGCAGCGCCTATTTATATAAATTAGCAGCGAAATATCCAGAATATTCAAGTAAACAGGCGCAAGGTACCGAGAGTTCGTGTTTCAACTTCAAGAAGTTTAGTTCTTCGGTTCGAGACTAGATGGCGCTAGTGCCGTCGACTTGAGCGCGTAACAGTATGATAACTAACAAGTTTTCACTACTGTCGTTGACGCATAATCCTAGACCTTTGAGTAGATGAAGCTTTTGCAATTGAATATTCAAACAGATGACGGAAGCATTTATTAGAATTGCCTGAAGGTGTAAGGTTGAGCTATCTGTCTTTTCAATCATGGTAATTACTCAAAAAATCAATACAACTCAACTAAGCAGTGCACACGCCGGAGCAAGGCAGTTAATATGACCCCATGAGTGTCCATCAAGACACCATGTGTGCCTGAAATTTCCTAGGTCCTTTATTGAACGGTATAATTGAACAATATAGACAATATTTGCACAATACAGATTGCAGGAGTAAATAAGCATCTACTAAAATAAAACTCATATTATCTTAGACCTCATTTCTACTTTATGCTTCGATTAGAAATATGAACAAAGATTGGTTTTGTTTATCAAATTTGAATGTTATCAGCTATTATTTATTACTTAATATAAAAATAGGCTAGGTGGCAGTTTGCAGCACCAGCGTATATGTGACAGTAGACTCCATGCACGAACGGACTTGCGCTCATTATAAGTACAAGTATATGTGAAGTACCCTTGCAAGGACACCTAGTTTCCTTGGGGCTGTTTTGGTCATGGACTTAATAAACCGCCCATAGTCGAGGTTCGGAAAAATTCAACCCCTAACAACTGAAGGCAGTCAGAGTACTAGATATATTTCGATAAGTAGGAGTCTGTGTGAGCGGGCTCCTTCTAATGGTGAAAAGATACACTTTCGTTTTGAAGGCGGTGAATCACTAGATATTGGCATCGCGCCATTCGGAGGCTGCCTGCAATGAGAGATTCACACGCTCAAGCATACTTTACTTCTCTTTCGGACTGGATTTGATCCCGACTGGCCTCAGCATTCTGCTGGTACTACTCCACAACTGCGCTGTCGTCTGCATACCCATAGATACCGGGAACAAGCAGACCATTAATAATTTATATGTCAATAAGAGTTTTTCATAAATTAGTGGTAAAACAACCCCAGAGAGTAATTTTTTATACTCGAGTTGGGCTGTTTCGCTCTTGCCCTTATAAGTGCTTTGTGAGATGTACCTATTGACGACTCGCGAAAACAGTAATAGCATAAGCTTTAAAATAAGTAACTTTAGCGCTCTTTCAACTTCTATTACTCCAATAACTACCTAACTAATCAATGTGTGGATGCCGGACAATCTTTGGACCAACAATAGTGTAAGTTATCTTTGAAATACCACTTCAATAACAGTATATTAAGTTAGGACTGTTACATACATGGGCAAATCAAAAAACATCCTAAATTCAGTAGAGAAGATGACTGGGTGCTAGAATCTGCTTAGAATCCTATAATTAATAAAATTAAATCCCAACTCAAGCATAAACTGCAAGACTTCAAGATACTATAAGCTCATTCTGTGTAGATTGGATTAAAAAAATTAATAATTTTAAGCTGAAGGTAGCCGTTATTGACTATGATATCGTCAAAGACCTGTCTCTGCCGTGACCAAGAGTGCTATAAAGTAGGTACTCGAAGCGTCAGGAATTTATAATAAGTAAATAAACGCGCCAAAATCCGTAAAACTTAGTTTCATATAAATAGGTACAACGAAGGAGTTGCATTGTTTTTACGAATAGGTGCAGAAAAGTGATTTTGGACGAAATAGTGACGTATGATGAAAAATGAATTCAAACAAGCAAAAAGCACAATGGCCAAACCCAGATCATGTACCAGAAAAATGGCTTAAAGCCCCTATTACCACCAGCCCTTTAGTGCCAATTTCAATTTCTTTCACGATCAATTTTTTTAAAAATATGTATTTGTTTTAATCGAACATTCATTTACGATCATATTATTTTGTTCTTATACCCTTTGAGTTTTTGGTAGGTAGGTAGCTATAGTAGGAAAGCACAAAGCACAAGCTACATCAATAATTTAGCATGAAATATATATTTAAGACAGATGACAATGATTATTTTATTTTATTGTTTTACTAAATACTTACTGGGTTTTGGTTTTTAAAAGTTAGATCTTTCTTTTAACAATTAATGAAAGTAAATTGTGAAAAAGAATATATGATGCACATCGATATCTTGTAAATTAATCATCTAAGCTTTTGAATTATCGTTATCATATATACAGCCTATCGCAAGTCCAACGCTGAACCCACGTTCAAATGATCATCGTATCGTAAAGGCTGGCATTAGGAGCATACACCTTAACTGTTTTGTGCTCACTTTATGGTGTAATTCACTATAGGTTTTTAAAATCCGGCGTATCAATTACAGCAGATATCTATTGTTAAGAGTTTTGAAGAATGATAGTGAAATTCTGACTCAGACTCTCGAACTCGTCAATCGATCTTTACCGTTATTGCTCCATGGCAACGTAAAATCTAAAACTGCTTAACAAACCGTTTTAAAATAATAAGACCTGCAGTTAAAATCATACGTCATCCTACGTACCCCCGCCAGGCCTAGCCCCAACCGATTACCATTTGTTCCGTAAACTGGACAATTTCCTAAAAGGTAAAAAATTTTGTTCTCAGGAAGCGCGAAATGCCTTCATAGACTAGACCCCAGAGTTCTATCTCAATGGCATATATGATGTTCTCTCGAGATGGCAAAAATGTATTGATAATTAGGGTAAACATTTGGTTTTTTAAATGGGTTTGAATGTTTCAATATAAAACAGAAATTTAATACTTCACCACCTAATTTACCGTATTCCTGTGTTTGTGACTCTGTCTCCAAAGTCCAAACCTACCAGCGATCTACTGTGCTCCTACAGTTCATTGACAGATTTATCGGCCTGTGACCGAACATAAATTGCCTCAAAGCCTGTATTCGTCATGACTCTTTTCTACTTTAAACCAGGTCCACATAATATTTATAACCAATAATGAATAAAAGGCGATCAAAACATTGAATTACAAAAAAGAAATATCAAATACCTCGTTTTAATATCTCGTTATTCACACTTGCACTTTCACCGCAAATTTTCCTAAACACAAGTTCATGACGCTTCTTAAAATTTGTCAACCAACCATTGCTGGCCCGAAAAGAACTGTGTCCCAGCGATTTTGAAAACTCTTTGGCTTTTTCGCGTAATATCTGCCCACATACATGTATGTTTTTATCATGACACTGTTTGAACCAGCTTACTAAGCATTCCTCTAAATCAGGAAACTCGGCTAGTCGTCTCCTTTTGCAAGACAAATTGGTACTTGATTCATACCGTAGCAATATTTCAGCTTCATTATTAATTATTGCAGAAAGAGTGCTTGCTGCTATTCCATAGTAAGCTGCCACGTCTTTTTTCTTCATGCCACTGTTTACCGCTTTGATAACGTTAAATTTTTCACTTAGAGTTAAAGTCGTTAGTTTCCGTTTGGTACTCATGATGCTAGTCAAAAGCCAAATAAGTACTGATACTGACCGATACTAAGCTTCTTTTTAAGCAATAAGCCCAAACACTTAGAAACTTTTTTGTTACTTAGAAAGTTTAATGAATGTATTCATTCATTGCACGTGAACAAAGTAGGTACACACAATAGAGCAAAAGTAACAAACATTTTGGATTTTATTGCTATGAGTTCGGTGAATCCCAAGTAAGACGTCATTATATTTTACTAACTTCGACTTACAAAGTCTGCTTTATGAAATTGTAGTTATAGAGTATAAGTACCTCGCAGGGAAATAACATTTTGGTCGAGTAAAGTTTAAATAATACGAGATTCCCCGTATTAAGGGGTTCAGCGGAAAGCAAAGGCAATTTTTTTCGTCTTACTGAGGATTACGACTTAATGAGGTTTGAGTTATCGAGATTCTACCGTAGGGTGAATTTTACCAGCCTTTTAGTGGCAATTTCAACTTTAAAAATTCGTGCTATTTTAATAAGAGCAGAATATTTTTAAACGCTTGTTTTAATCGATAGGCACAATCATATTATTTTAAGAACAATTTCAAAAACCACTCCTCCAGTTCTTAAATTACACCCACCCTGTCCCGAATATCGTTTTGAGTTATTGGCACTGTCGTAAATTCCTAACAACTTAGGTATTTGGAATCATACATGTCACGAGCATGAAATATAAATTAAGATGAATAATTATTTTATTTTAACGTTTTACCTTACTGTGTTTTGGCAATCGCACTAAGCAATCTAATTTAATATAATATGTATTACTTGTGAGATACATTGTGTTTTCATGCGATGACCAAGTCAATCTATATATTTAAAACATAAAAGGTTTTTAACATTGATATGGTCACTATAAATGTTGTTAGGTTAGCTAATTACATCATCATCATTCATCATCATTACAGCCCTTCACAAGTCCACTGCTGAACATAGGCCTCCCCCAAGTAATGCCACAAAGCACGGTCCTGAGCCACCTGCATCCATCGACTTCCTGCATATCTTACCAGGTCGTCACTCCATCTAGTGGGGGGTCGCCCTACACTACGCCTACCGGTACGAGGCTGCCACTCGAGAACCTTTCTAACTCGAGAACCTTTCTTTATTTTAGCTAATTACATAATAACACCTTAAAACAAAAGGACCCTTAAGTAAGGACTGAATAAATTAACCGACTTATCTCACTACTTTTTACGGTAGAACTGAGTTGCGAGACTTGGGTTTTTTTACAAGTTGTGTTTTTGATGGCATTTTGTCTTTCTCAAAAAATAATGAAAATACAGAGGAATATCTATAATTCGAATGTCAAGGGAAATGCAAAAAAAATCGAGTTAACAAGTTTTCGACTTAACAAGAACTTCGAGATACATAGTATGATTTAACTGCTAAAATTTCGACTTGCAGAGGCGAGAGATTTCTAAGTTAATTTCGTCGAATTCGAATAACAATTCAACATAAGTTTTATGGTACATATATATTTTTTACATATTAAAACAAATTACATATTAATGAAGTAAACTATACACTAAAAAATCCGTTATCTTCTTTTGATTTTTAAACTATTTGCAGATTTTTCTATCAATTCTTTTTTCAAGCTCAGCCAAAGCCAAAATAAATACTGACGGACAAGCTCCGCTAAAAAATCGTGTCCTGTGTCGACAAAGAACAAACATAACGTTCACAGCTGTTACTTGGAAAGTTTTATGAATGTATTCATTAATTGCACGTGTATAAGACAAAAACAATAGATTAGAAGCCCCGAACCCAAACATTCATTTTGGATATTGCTATTATTTCGGGGAATTCCAAGTAAGGCGTCATTATATTTTACTAAGACTTTACGGAGTCTCCTTTTTGAAATTCGAGTTATAGAGTATTAAATATGTATTATCAATACTTCGTAGGGAAATAACATTTTGTTCGAGTTACAAAGTAAATAATTCGAGATACCGCGCATTTAGATTTAGGGGTTCAGCGGAAGGGAATGGCAATTTTTTTCGACTTACTGAGGATTTCGACTTAACGAGGTTAGAGTTAAAAGATTCCACTGTATAAGGTATTCTTAATATATATATGTCTGATATATATACATCCATGCTGAATTTAATGATTTATATATACATAGAGGATTATTATATAAGGTATCAATATATTATATCTATAATGATATTTATTCCAGTTTACGACAACCGTCATTCATATTACGAGGCTGAAATGAAGTACATCTTATTAGGTACGTCAAACCAAATAAAAACCTGACGGCTGACAATGTGCACTCCATAATCCATCAACTTACAGTCCCGTTAATTCTTCCTAAAATAAAATAAAATTTCTATTTGCTCCTCAAATTACGAAGAATGTTTCAATTGACTATATTTATAGTTAAGACCACTAGAAACCTTATTTATGAAGTACAAAAACGAAAAGGCTGGCATTAGGGGCGGGGCTGGTATTCACCATATACAATTGTTTCCCTCCATCCTTATATTCTTGCCATTAGGTATATAATATACACAAAATTATATTCTTATCACTAGGTATTTACACTAAAACTAAACTAAATAAAAATAAAGCATATTTTTGCGGTAATGTCTGTTCACTGTAGCTTACTTGGTAATAAAATGCGTCTTACTACAAGAGCACAATCTTAGTGTCTTTTTGCGGTAAAAAAAAATGTGAGCAAATCAGTTTGTATGTATGCGACAAACCACGGAGGGCGACGAGAGCAACACAGGGCTCGTACTCGTACGAAAGCATGCAACGTACTGCCGATGCTGAGTGCCGCCCACCCGCTCCCTGCCCACGCCATTTCAGCATAGAATTCACTACATACCTACGTTTTTGAAATTATTGTAAAAACAGAAAAAGCGGTCTTTTCAAAAAATTAAACGTACTAAATGTTTATTACTAAATTGCCTTTTTATTAGTGTCAATCGCAAAATTAAATAATGCTTACATTACGAGGAGATTCATGTTTCCTCATTTCTGTGATTTCTGACATTTCGTTCATTCGTTGTAAGAAGATGAATAAAACATTAATTTACTTATTTAAAAAAAATATGGAAACACGTACGCGCGCGGTAACGGGATATCGACAGACTGAGCTTATCAGAGCTCAACAGAGCTTTTATTATTGAGCTCTAAGAGGTAAGAGCTAAAAACGTAGTACGAGGTGAAATTTGAAATTTGCATTTGAAATTAGCGGGAAGTTGCAGACAGGGTCTATACTGTCAACCGTTTTTTTTTTATAAATATGCCCGATTGTGCATTAAGGTATTGTAAGTCCCGATATGGAGCAAAAACTGAATGTGATTTCGGTTTATTATCGCAAGTATAATGTATATTTACCCAATAATTCTTAAATTTTATTATTTCTTGAAGATTGTTCTAGAACATTTATCATTATTGTAATAAGTCTCTGTTATTCAGTAACGCCACTATTTATTTACCTATTGTAAATGATTTAGTAATTGACAACGTTTATCGATTGGTGTTACCGATAAAATATTATATAATATGCCGATATAAACATCTAGTGTTTAAGGAGGTGAAACAGTAAATGATACTGTATCACAATACCAATAAAGAAATCGGATGGGCCTGTGTCTGTGTGTCCCCTGAAATTGAGAAGATACGACAAAGGGGGTTTTTTAGCGGTAAACGAGCAAACTTGTGAATGATTTGTAAAATGATTTATTCCATAACGAGTATTAAGTTCAGTGCTTTCCTAAAATATGTTAGTTTTAAAGTGCATTTTTTTAAAATGAACGAATTTCTAAAACATGGAGGCGCTCTCTTATTGGATTTGACGTTTCTCGATGTGCCTTCGACGCCGACCGACCAATCATATGCTATTATTATAGCGTCTAATGGACCGAGTGACGTCATCCAAGATGCCACCATTGTGAGTGCTGTTTGAATTGATTCTTAGTTATTGGAAATTAAATATTTTATTTCATGACACTAAAATGACGTAAAAAGTTGATGACGGGAGTCATAATAAATAGATTTATACTATAAAACAATCATGCATATTCCCTATTATATCGTAAAGAATTACAAACTTAATAACCTTCAACAACATTATCGATACTTTTATGTTGAAACGGTAACATTCCTAAAACAGGTTTCTACCTCATATTTGTTAGCGTCACCTACTGGGGAATATCTGTAATGTTTCCAAATAAATATTTAGCGTAATTTTGCTATGTTTAGCTAGAGGGCATCACACACGCGCGAGCTTGAAGTTTTCGTATGCAAATGTTCCCCAACGTCCGCTCTATAGCATATACATTCTCTAGTACATAGTCAGTAATCTATGATATACATTTAAATCTCTTTGTGGGAAGACAAGATAAAAGGCTGTGGAAATATAATATTGGAAGCGAAATTTTATAAAACAGTTATTGATAACAACACCTCACAAACTCATGTAAATGTGCTACAATAGAAAGAGATCGACTTAAGTCTTCAGAGTTGGAAATCCTAATTAATCAAGAAAAAATACACACTGCTATTATAAGCGAAACTTTGTTAGACCCGGGTAGTCACTTGCACATTACCAATTATAATATATTATGTCTTTAGAGGGGATCGTGCTGACGGAATTGCAGTCGTAGCTATTTTGACACATAGGTCAATTAAGGTACACAAATAAAACGTAATGTTACTAATATATACAATATAACATTGAACTGCTAAATTCATAAATTGAGATCCTTCATAATCATATTACAATTTTACCTATATTATATAGATAAGAAATTTAATTTTAAAATTAAAAAGTTGTTCTCTAAAATGGGATTCAATATTTGATCCCATTTAAGACAACAACTTTGTTTCACTGAATGATGCACATATATTAGAATCAAACCGGTTAACGGCATAGTATAATATAATCTCATAATCATCAAAATCAATAAAAAATCTATATATATATATATATATATATATATATATATATATATATATATATATATTC